CTAATCCAACAATATAGCCTTGGCACAACTTCAAAACTTCTAATCCAACAATATAGCCTTGGCACAACTTCAAAACTTCTAATCCAACGATATAGCCTTGGCACAACTTCGTCATTGTTTACCTTGACACAAAAACCTGCTTGGTAATACAACACATATGATTAAAAATAATTCATTTCTTACACAGTTTCAACAAATATCCAACCATTTCTTTATCTTCTCAAACAGTTAGCACATCACTTCTCTTTTCTTTTCTACTTTTGTTTGCTTCCAAACAATGATATTGCAGTTCACTGTGGGACAAGTATTGTATATTGACAAAACATGTGATCAGCTTATTCACGTCAAGAGAGACACATTAATTTACATACAGTCATGTACCATAGGTATGGTGACAATAACCTCAGTGCCATTGAGTGTATCGTTTCTTTTTCACTATGAAAGTGATATTATTCTGTTAACGTAACGTGAGTCGGCATTATGCATAACAAGCTCCAGATAAAGCTCAACTACAGTGTCGAGGAAAAGGTACATAAATTTGAACATAATAGTAACTAATAAAAAATTATGGAATGTTATCTTACAGTATTTGTTACAAATTAGGCTAATATACAGTTTTTTTTATTGTTATGAGTGTTTCATACATTGTTTAAGTGCTAATGGAAAACTTTATACAATTTTCAAGTAATTTGCTAGGTTGTGCTGTATGAGAGTTGTAATTAGAAACTTGTTATTAAACAGAATTCTGTTATAAAACAAATGCTCAAAAAGTTAGCATGTTAAATTTTTAACATTCAGATTTTCCACAAAGTACTGAATAATAGATCGTTTCTAATCCAACACAAACAGCAATCTAGTGAGTCTGACAACAGGCATAGTTGGAATCATTATTTCCGGGAGATAAGTGGCACATTTGAAATTATTAACTTGCCAAGTGGAACCTTGACTAAATTTTCTGTTCGATTTAGGAAGTTTTAAATGAGCAATTTTGTTACAATTTGTATCTTAATTCAGTAATCTAATTTACATTTCTCAAGAATGTCTGTGAGCAACCTGTCTTGCCACACCGACAAATCTATCTGAAAGCGTATTTCTGACATTTGTCCAGCCAACTGATGAATATTGTTTGTTTTAACTCTGTGGTTGTTATAATTAACTTTGGGCTATTTATTAGTGTAAAAAAGTTATTTGCACATTTAGTCCTAGCAATACATATGGGATCCATGTGGATTCCATTGACTTTTTAAAACACATTTCTCTAAATTATTTACGTGCCAAACTGCACGTAGGTCTTTGTTGGTTACAGGTCCCTAATAACGTGAGTCACACACAAAAAACGTAAACAAAAATGCTGTTAATGTTATAGTTAATCCAACTACCTACTGTTGGGTTTCCTTGTAAATCTTATGTAGATTTTTACTTATATCATCTAAGTTGTTTGGTAATGGTTTTTACACTTAGTTGTAATGGAGCAAGAACATGAGATTACTGACTAAGGTGAAATCTAGGGACTTCTAACAGTGAATGACATAAAAACGAGTTGGTAATTTGAGGGATAAGTAAAGTTATCATAAAAAAATAGACATTAAACCTTGTATAGTAGCAGCTTTCTTACTATAAAACCTTATTGAATATTTGTTATCGTAAATACAATGGTATTTTCAAATTGTTCAAAACTTTTGGATAGAGCTACATGAAGATTATCCAAACTTATTGTGTTCAATGAACTATTTTCTGCACTCCAGAGATTGTCCAAACTCATTATGTTCATTGAACTATTTTCTGCACTCCAGAGATTGTCCAAACTCATTATGTTCATTGAACTATTTTCTGCACTCCAGAGATTGTCCAAACTCATTGTGTTCAATGAACTATTTTCCGCACTCCAGAGATTGTCCAAACTCATTATGTTCATTGAACTATTTTCTGCACTCCAGAGATTGTCCAAACTCATTATGTTCATTGAACTATTTCTGCCCTTCTCCATTGTATCCACTGACCTGCCAGAAATTGTCCAAACTCAAGTGCACAAAATAGTTCAATGAACACAAAGATTTTGGACAACTCTGGAGTGGAGAAGGCAGGTCAGTGGATACAATAAGTTAAAATAATCTTTGGAATGGAGAAAATAGTCCAATGAACATAATGAGTTTGGACAATTTCTGGAGTGGAGAAGGCAGGTCAGTGGATACAATAAGTTAGGATAATCTTTGGAATAGAGAAAATAGTTCAATGAACATAATGAGTTTGGACAATCTCTGGAGTGGAGAAGGCAGGTCAGTGGATACAATAAGTTAGGATAATCTTTGGAATGGAGAAAATAGTTCAATGAACATAATGAGTTTGGACAATTTCTGGAGTGGAGAAGGCAGGTCAGTGGATACAATAAGTTAGGATAATCTTTGGAATGGAGAAAATAGTTCAATGAACATAATGAGTTTGGACAATTTCTGGAGTGGAGAAGGCAGGTCAGT